CGTGTAAAAGGAGTACATGTAAGATGTACAGTAGTGATGCGTGTAAAAGGAGTACATGTAAGATGTACAGTAGTGATGCGTGTAAAAGGAGTACATGTAAGATGTACAGTAGTGATGCATGTAAGAAGTACATGTAAGATGTACAGTAGTGGTGCGTGTAAAAGGAGTACATGTAAGATGTTCAGTGGTGATGCATGTAAAAGGAGTACATGTAAGATGTACAGTAGTGATGCATGTAAGAAGTACATGTAAGATGTACAGTAGTGATTCATGTAAGATGTACAGTGGTGATGCATGTAAAAGGAGTACATGTAAGATGTACAGTAGTGGTGCATGCTTTTTTTCCACATCAACTTGGTTACTACTGATCTACTAATCTTTCCCTACTGTTTCACCATGTCTAACATGTTAATAACAATGCCATAGCACCATGGCTGCAGCAACAAAACTCAATGTTTAATATACAGTTTCTTTTTCCATATTTTTCTATTTCTTCCTTTTTTTATTTTGCATTTTTTTCCTTTATTTTTCTTTTCCTTTTTGATGACCCAAAATATTTCCCAAATTTTCAAAATAAGATAACATTTATAGATAACTCCTATAGTGCCAGGTGTAGTTTTTTTTTAATTTAGTTATAGTAACTCGTTGTTTCCCCTGAAAGGGGACCGAGGGCTGTATGGTGGGGTCACCTGTTTTAATCACTCACACCATATATAGCAGTTTGTTGTCTGTCAGTGAGTCAGTAGACACTAAAATTACATCACAAGGGATGCTTAACGTTGCAATTTTAACCTTTGTAACACCAGTAAAATGCATGCCTCGAATCTCGATAAGAATTCTGCACTCTGTCGGTTGCAACACAGCATGACGTATGAACTTCAAAAGCAAGAAATAAAAATGCTAGTTACTTTAAGTTTTGGTTTTATTTACTCTTGAAACAGAACACTTTTGGGGAACCAATGGAAGAAGATCTAGTATAATGCTCATTACTTGTTACATCAAAATGAATTTTTTTAAAGAACTAATTGTCTCAGATATTTAGCAGACGATTATGTTCTCAGACTGTCAGAAATATTCAGTAAAATAACTGTTCATGCACTTATATCCAAAATTAATATGAAGAATGTATGATTTTTTTTTCAAGTTATAATATTATTGTATTTATGATCCCTTTTTCTCAGAATGTTTACTTAACATCACAGTTTTCAGTACTAAAACCAAGGTTATATAGTGAGTCCCATATATGTACCTATGGCAGTACCGTAGATGGGGGCATACATGTGCCCATGGCAGTGAGTTAAGTGAATGCTCTTACTTTGTTATTAAATTATGTTGTAATATTTTTTATTTATACATTTTTTGGCATGTAATCTTCATAAAGGTAACTGTTATGTACAATCTTCATCATGTAGGAGAAAACTAGCACAGGTACATTTACATTCCTTGAGGATCTTAGCAGCAACGGCACCTTTGTTAATGGGGTGAAAGTAGGTAAGTGTAAGTTACACTGTTTGTTTCTTTCTAAACTCAGTTGGTATGGCTTTGAGTTCCATCCAACCTCGGTTTTCATTTCTTTACCAAAATTCCAGTTTCATAGGATAGTGTAGTAGCCATAATATTTTTGTGATTTAGCCCTTAACTTTATCAGTACTGGCCTGGTCCCAGGGATCAACCATGTGACCATTTTTATTTGTACATAGTTTTAATATTATAACTTTCAATACAGTATGTGTATCTTCACAAAATTTGGCAGACTTTTAGTAAACATTACATTTTGATTGTGCTTTAAAAAATCAGTTTTTTTAATTAAGTATTTTTACTAACAGTTTGTCTGAGAATAAATTGAATCTTTTTTTTTTTACTGGTCCGAGAGTGAAGTGATTTTTATCTATAAATAGTTTTCTTTGTCTCAAAAAATCTGAACTTCATTCTTGTAAATATAAACTTTTATATTTTATCTGTTATAACCTCTACCTTAACAGTATGTTTTATTCTTCAGCCAGTAAACAAATCATCAAACTATAATGAAAAGTTGTAAAATCAGAAATAAAATGAGCAGTTTGCCATTTTTTCTACCTTATTGGTCACGAAATTTCAAAATACTTCTCTTGAGAGTTTTAACTCTAAGCATTTCAGTTATTTTCTCTGTATTTTACTGTTTACGACTGAAGTAGAAATCCACCGAAAATAAAGCAACAGATCACCACTTGTGTCACCCTGCTCCGAGAACAGGATGTCTAATGTGTTGGATGATGCATCTTACAGTGTTTACTAGGAAAATTCGCCATAGTAATTACACTGCACTTAGAATCAGTGAAAACATCCCGACAACAAGATTTGGAATTTATTGGCTTATGTATGTGTCCTACAGTGTTTACAACAAGAATTCTCTAGAGTAATAACATTGCACTTTGAATTTGTCAAAACATCTATCCTATGGTTCAGTGCTGATGCAATAAACATCACAATTCTTTGAATATTGGTAATCCCACTGGGATGTTAGGAGTTTAGTGTTATATTGTACAGGTGTACTAAGATTTTATTTGTACACATGGTTGTGAAATTCTACTTCTCTTTCAGCAAACTTAAGAATCAACCAATAAACATTCAGGTTTCAAATCCAGTTATTGTTTCGCAAACATTCAAATTTAGTCAAGCACTCTGACTTTGGTACACTTTGTTGGAAGATGTAGACGAGTTGTTACCAAGTGAATACATTCTGCGTCAAACATATTCCTTGCTACTGACGTTTACTTAAGAAGTAAGTAAGTATTATTTATAATACGTGTAGAATATCTGTTCAATAGTTTTAGTATATAGTTGTTAACCAAAATCCAGTGTAGCTGTTTCTATATTTTAGCATTAACATATAAGGCTTCTGAAATCTATGATTCATGTTACATAATACACATAATAACGTTATGCAACAGAGATACATAATGATACATAATATATGCGATATATACGTAATAACACAAAATAGAGTCTATATGTAATCTACAATTAATGTGTTTTTTTTCCTTCTAGAAATGGAAACTAAAAGAGAACTCAAATGAAAATTCAAGGAATTGAGGAAGAAAAAGATTCTCAACGAGGAGGAGATGCAGTTTTTACTGCATGTATCTTTTTCTTCTGATGAAGGAGGCAGTCTGTCAGGGTAATTAACAGTTGAGGAAGCTGATGCTTCATTTGCTATGCGTCTGACAAAATCAGTGTACAAAACAAGATAGTCTCCGGTTGAACTAGTTCTTCTTGATTCTGTCCTCCGGAAAGATCAAGAAGTAGCTGTGAGATAGTCATCAGATGAAGATATACCACAACCACCCAGGCCAGGTACCTCGAGACAAACTACACCACAGAAAAGAGGTAGGACTAGGAAGAGTAGGGGAAGGAGTACAGCTGCAGTGTGTAATAGTACTGCTCCTTCCAAGCAGGATAAGCCTCACGTCTACAATGATACCTGGACCTGGGTGCAGATCACCAAGAAGGACCAACTCCACATACCTCCATTCAACAGATGGGATGAACATAATTGTAAATCAAACAAATAAATATACAAATGAAAGACTGACATTACAATTGATGAAATTTTGGCATATCTAGGTTTGACTATAGCTATGGAACTCAAGCCTTATCCTTCTCTTTCTGACTATTGGTCTACCTATCATCCTTTCCATAATTCTTAGTTTACTAACATCTTCTCTAGGGACAGGTTTTTAGCTATCCACAGTTACTTATATTTTGATATCAATACTAATGCTCTTTCTAGAACTGACCCTAACTATGATAAACTATGACCTATCATAGACCACCTACGAAACTGTTTTGTTTCCCACTACTCTCCTAACAAAGAACTAACTGTAGATGAACAAATGCTGGGCAAAAAAATGTAGAATTGGTTTTCTCCCCTATCTACCATAGTCCTGGAGGAAACTGTGAGTGGATACTGTCTGAAGTTTAAAATCTACACAGGCAAAGAGGGATGAATGTCAGCTAGAGGTTTAGCATTGTGACAGAACTGATGGACAAGTATAAAAGACTAGGACACTGGGTTGTCATGGACTTCCCCTCATTCATTTGACAAACCACCTATGCTTGTGGGACATGTAGCAAAGACAGACTGTATTTCCCACAGCAGCTGATTTCTATAAACCTACAGAGAGGGAAAGCACAATTTTTTAAATGTGGAACTCTGATAGCTGTGAAGTGGACTGACAAACGAGACGTTTACACACTTATAAATTTAAACTATAGTGCTACAACAACATTGACAGGAAGAGGGAGGGACAATGAAGTAACAAAACTTCAGTTAACTGTGGACTACAACAAGGTCATGGATGGGGTGGACCATCCATGACCAACACTTAAATTAATATTCTACTAGTCAAAAGACAATAAAATTGTATAAAAAAAAACGTTTTATATTTGTTTAATTTTTGAACTTGACAGTTATAAATGATTACGTTCTGTATAAACAGCAGGCCAATCAGCTGCCATTATCCCATAAAGGCCTTCAGAACAGACCTAGTCATAGCTCTTGTTGAGCCTCTACTTTAAAACAGCCCATGTCCTTCTAGTATACCACTTTCAAGAACTGTGCAGGACTCATCACCTCTGAGACTCATTCTTAGCAGGCACTTCCCAACAGTTGTTTTGATAGAAGTCAAAGGAAGAGATGCGGACTGCGCCTTCCAGAAAATAAAGTAACAACAAAATGTAAATTGTGTAATGAATTTGCTTTTATTAAACATTTTGAAGAGTATCACGCAAGTGTTACTCTTTAAAGAAGTTAATTCTTGATGTAAAAGTATCTGCTCCCTTCCTTTGTTTACAATTATTTTTCTTCAAAGATTTTAATGTTTGTATTTTAACGAACAGCAGTGTTTACTTTTTGACATTGAATTTTGATGGAACTATTTTTGTAAAGTTTTCTTTGTTATTCATACACTTGTATGTACAGTAGTGATGCTACCTTTAATATGTCAAAATTAGTTTACAGTGTCTAAAATGTTTGTAGTAAAATACCTATATAAATTTGTGTTCATTGATACAAATTTTTTCTGTGCACAACATTAGGTTGTTTTAATTATTTCCTTTGTTGATCCTTTCATTCTCGTTGTTCCTTATATCATGTGTCAACATTTGTATACATTTTTGTATGTTAGAATGTGTATAACTTAATATTATTTCATGCAATTTGTATGTGCATTATTAATAAGTCTAGAGGTGTATATCATTTGTACATAACTTTATTCCACAGACATTCATAAAGTATTGTATCATTCTAAAATGTTATGAATAAACCTTTTTTTAAGTTGTCAAGCTTCAAATGTTACATAATTTGCTTTTACTTTACCTCAGTTTAGACAATTAGAAGAAGAATACAAATTAATTAGGTATGACTATATATATAGGCCTAGAAAATACAAATCTCTAGCTATAATACCATTATTTTGCGACATATAGTGAAATTTCAGCTACCATACATTATTTATGTTTATATACTTATTGTTATTATTTATTTACAAATGCTTAAATTTATTTCTTTTTCTTAAAACTTAGAAGAATATGGAAAAGATACTTTAAAAAATAAGGATTATGAGCACTTACTGTGGTTAGGAAACTTTGTGCTGGAGCATTGCGCATACTAAGCCTCACCGTAAGCATAATTTATTCTTCCAAGTGGAGGGTGTAGAGCTATTAATTTTTTATTGTTTCAATATATATATATATATATATATATATTAGAAATAAAAAAAATTATCAACTTGCTGTACTAGTGCTCACAAAATATCTGTAATTTATTTGGGTTTCTAAACAAGCTTTACGAGTTTAAAAAAAATCCCATTTCTCTTAAGAGCAACAACTTAGTCATAACACTTCAACATTTTGGCGAGATTATGATTTCCTCCTTCAAGCTATCTACATACACGAGAAACTACTCTTTCTATTGGTTATAAACTCATACTAAAAAAAAGTGGGTGGGGCTAGATAAGAGGTTTCAAAAGAATGGAGTAGTGGGAGGAGCCAAACCACTAGATTGACTAAATAGATATCTCGGCACGTCAAAGAAGTAGGAGGTTCTTATTTTTCATTATATCTTGTCAGTATCTCTAATCTCAGTTTCTAATTCGTTAAGCACTGTACACACTGTATGGTAGGCTTAATAAATAATAAACGGAGCAATAACACAATAGGAAGTATTATGTACAAACAAAAATTTATATTTAGCATTTTTTTCTTTATATTTCCATTTAAATTACAAAATTAAAACATAAATTTGAATTATAAACTACGTTTTGATGACAATTCCTTTGATATAAATAATAGTAAAGTTATTTAATAAAATTTTGAAAATAGCTCTCTAAAATGTCATGACACGTGATCTTTGACCTGCCCGCAATGAAAGAATTAAATTAAAACATTAGATGTAAACCGTTGCATACTGTGGTTGGTCAGCTGTAAGTTTAAGAACTTACAACGTTAAAATCCATGGTTTGATACTTCAAGGTGGACAGAGTGCAGATAGCCTATTGTGTGGCCTTGTGCTAAAACAAACAAATCAAGCAGTTTTTATGCTCCAATGAACAGATGTTATACTATGATAACATTGCAAAAGCATAGATTTAAAAAGTACAAGAAAATACAGCACTATTCAGGAGTTTTACAACTAATGGTCAATCCGTAAACTAGAATTGTTAAATTCTAAACAATTAATAAGTATTCAGAAAAAGTTTAAGTTTACAAGAAATGGGTGATTTTAAGGATTGACACAGAAATGTCCACTTCATATAAGTCCGGTTACTGTAAGATTTAATAGTTTAAGCAGGTTATGAAAAAAGCAGTCGCATCATGCATTAGTAAACTTTTCTCTAAAACCTAAAGTAATACATAAATAATGTATGTTCTTTAATCAGTTGCATCTTGGGCTGGCTGTTTTTCATGTCTCATGACTTTTTACCGTTTATAATTCAAATTTTATATCGTACAAGTTTAACTTGTTAATTTAAAAAAAAAAATATTTAACAAATTCTCAATAGTCATTTGTCTATGTCATAAGGCTTACAGAAAAACATTTTTTGTTTTTACTGAAGTAAATAAGAGTTTGGTTGTGCAGTAAGTACGACAAATCCTTGTTTATATATATCTTATTTAACAAAGTAAATAAATTATAAAAGTTAGAAACTTCTCAGCTTGGCCTAACAAAACTTCAGGGAAATAAAATATCTAAAATTTCATGAGCTCAAGCATATCTGTAACATGTTGGTTACATCAGTTCTACAGGAAACAGCTAATGGACTCCTGCTATAATTTATTGCTTTTTACAGAGAAGGTTACTGCTCCCCTGGTACAAAGTAAAGTAATAAAACCATAAAGTTAAAAGGAAACAGATGTTGAAAGGTTAATAGTTGAAGCTATTAGATAAGTAATTTTCAATATTTCTGATAACTTCTGCAATTATTGCAGTGTAAAAAATGGTTTTATTAATTTTATTTCATGTTTTTTGGCTTTTTGTTTCACTGTACATTGATGATTTAGCCACAGTAAGTGTTAGGGTAGAGAAAATAAGAGTTAAAGTATAGATTCTTACCAAAATAAGACTTTTTTTTAATCATCTAGGAGCTTCTAGAGGTTATGCAAATGAAATAGGAAAAACTGTAAGATGAAAATAAATATTTTTATTCTTAGCATGAAAACCACCTCTCACTCGTACTGACTCAATATAGGTTTCATAAATTTGCAGATAAATCTTTAGTAAAAATACTTTATTAAAATATCTGATTTGCTGTGTACAACAGAGTTGTTATATTTACTAAAAGCTTGCCAAATTTCATGAAGTACACAAAGTAAATTCAGAATTACAGTAAACATTACGATGTATAGCTTCACAGATACAAGTTTGATCAATTTTTCTAAGCCTACGAACAGAATGTTAAATAGTTCTACGTTTTATGTCGTCATATTGCTACATGTTTTATCCATTTATTGATTGGTTATAAGGAACCCACACACACACACTGAATATATGGAGTCTACTAATCATCTGACGGTTAGTTGAGCCATATAAATGTAGAGAAGTAGTCATCTTCCGAGTAGTCTGCAAGATGTGAATACGAGTAAGAATCTCTTGAACTTTCAAAAATAAAAAAACACAACTTTTATTTCACAAACTATAGCCAGCATATTAACCAAAATGTCAGGTGTTTCATCTTTCTTTGTGTGAAGATTAAACTTTTGTTACTAACATTGTTGTTGTTTGTTTTTTTCAGGAAAATTCAAAAAGCAGGTGCTTAATAACAATGATGAAATTTCCTTTCTACACAAAAAAAATAAAGGTAAAGTCCGTGCATCTAAAATTGGTTTATCATATGAATGTATATATATATATATATATAGATAGATAGATGTAGTCATGGAACCAGTAGAACCCATGCATCTAAAATTGGTTTATCATATGAATGTATATATATATATATAGATAGATAGATAGATAGATGTAGTCATGGAACCAGTAGAATAATGAACAATCATGTATGATTTTTAGATACTTTAAGTATTGATTTTCTTATCAGAACTGGTTCAGTTGCAAATCCGTGTCACAAATTACTAAATTTGAATACAAATGAGAATTTAAACTTCCACTTCAACAATTTGTAACTCAAGTATTTTCCAACTAAATATTCTCCAACTTTCGTTTCCATGTAGGTCTGAAGAGTTTCTCCTGTAAACAATTTTTCCAGTACGATATATAACCTCTCTCACATCTAGCTTTCATGATTCAGTGCTGCCCCCTATGTGAAAACTTTTTCGCTCAACACTAGACATTACTTTTTTTTTTTCATCCCAAAGTGTAGATTAATATTTCCAGTGAAGATATCAGCCCCTGAAAATATAACTCTTCATGTTTTGTTTTTTAGGTGTTTTCTTTTTTTGTTACGTCAATGTAGAGTAAATGAAGTGGTTTGAGCAGTAATTTGTGTTTTCTTTATATATATATTAGCCATCAACAACTCCTCTAGGGATGAATTTAACCAATCCTTGTGGTTGCATAAACATGTTCTGACACCTCATGCAGAGGCTGGGTGCCTTGCAGGAGGCAGAAGTTTCTTTAGTGATGTTAACATTGGCCTTCTGGCTATATACACTGTTCTATTGATTCCTAGCTACACCATATGCTACTTTGTTTCAAGCAGTTTTATTCCGTCTGAATGTCAGTGAAGACCTTACATGATTGTTGTTTTACTTTACTAATATACAGAGGAGGTCAATATGCTACCTGTAGTGTTGTGTTGAAATAGGGGCTTTTTGTGCAAGCTTGTAAGTTTTCCTATTTAGTTTTATCCCTGTGTGACCAGATAAATATGTCCAGATGATGGTCTTACCAATCCATTGCTTTGCTTTCTGTCGTCCATGCAGATACAAACCACTGAATTTTATGCTGTTCTGCCAGCAAGTCAATTGCAAACATTATGTTGGTTGTACTGTCTATTTCTGTTCGCTTCAACAATCTAGACCTCAGCTTGCTCTATGGCTTCTGGCTCCATAATTGTGCTGCTTGTGGGAAGCTTGAATATGAGTATTATGACAGGCTGACTGTCTGCTGTGGCTTTTAAAGTTGATATTGACAAGCTTTTTCTGCTTCATCCTCTTTCCAGTTTCTACATTTTCTGTCTAGGCTGATTTCCATGTGTGGTGGGGAAAGTATCTGAGATTTAGTAGTGACCAGTTATCTCATTCTTGGCTATATAGCACCTGTCCACCCATAACTGTGTATTAAGGCACTTTACAGGCAACCCACTGCTTGGGTGGGGTCGTTGTGGCGCTGGAACGTCTTGATTGAAAAGAGCCGTGACTTAATGTTGGAATGTATAGTCTTTATATGGCTAGACCCTTGTGAAGAAATTTGTAAGTTCTGTTGGTGCTCTGCATTGAGGCCTGTAAGGTGTAATAGGGCCTTGATAGGGTTTTTTGAAGTACAACCTGTGACCAGCCTTAAATGTTTTGTATCTTTCAACCTTACCGAGTTAAGTATCACTCACAATGACCCATTGGTAGTGCATAATCCAGGATTGAGTAGATAAGACTTTGGTAAAGCATAAACAGAATATGTTCTTAAGTTCGTTTTTCATGCAGCAACTTTCAGTGCATTGATGTCTTTGGTAGCTCTAGTTATGGTGTTGATGAAGTTCATTTGTCTGTCAGGTTCTTTGATGTTTCTTCCAGGTAAATAGCAGTGCCTGTAAAGGATGGTGATGGTTTGTCATCATCAGCATATCTGTAATTAAGTGTGTGGGACAAGGCCATTGCTTTGACAGGATTGATGATTATTCTCCTGTCATTGCACCATTTGCTCACTCTGCTATGAGATGTTTGCAGCTTGCTTTAGATTTTAGTTTTTCTATAGCCTCAGTTTTACACCAGAATGTCATCAGCGCATGGCATCTGGTTGGATTGTCAGGGTGGGCTAGATCCATGATGTAATTGTTCAAGACTCGTAAGTGCATGTTAGTTCTGGTTTTGAATCACATTTTGATTAAGACAAATGTTTTATTAATTAAACTAATACAGTGTAAAAGCTGGTAGCCAGAAAATTATCAGTCTTTTTAGCAAACAGTTTGTTCGTGAAAGAAGACAGTTGTTTACAAAATCACTCAGAAATATCTGGACAGATAGGCCTACACGTTCAAAACTATAGTAAAAAGTCTTACAAATTTGATGTTGTTACAGCAATTCAATAAATTCAATCTTAACTGAAATTTCAAATCAGGCAACACGAGGTGATTGTGTAATTAAATATGCTAGTTATCAGCAATTTAGTTTTGAATAAAATCTTAATATCTGATTTATTCCTTGAAACATTAAGGAATTAAAGGAAAAAACAACTTAGAATTTTTTGCGAAAATAATGGCTTTTTTTTTCCATTATACTTTGTATTTTGGTTAATGTACCTGCACATGAAGGCCTTGCCTCAGTCTTCATCTTATGGAACAGGGTACTATGATCATTGTAAGTGGCTTATATTTCCATGTTTTTGGTTCCTGTGTCGACCTTAATCTTGTGGAAGCATTAGAATGAATTGCTTGTGAAATTAATCTTGCTGGACATTTCATGTCTTTAGTTATGGAAGCCGGTTATCTGTAGAGAGCACGAGCTCTATTCCATGTAATCCTTGTCTGCTCTTCACAGGCTGAGGTCATTGGCCTACTTTTTAGGCTTTGTCAGTATCACTGCTCTACCAGTATACCATAAGATCTTCCTTTGTCTTTGGTAAATCTTTATAACCTGAAATCATTAGTACTACGTTCAGGAAAATAAAGTACCAAGAGAAATATTTCAGTGAGTATCGTTGAAGCTCAAATTGATTAGCTATAGAAAAGAAGTAAAAACTTTAAGACAGAAGAAAGTATTTTAATCTTGGTCGAGACAGCCTTCCAACAAAATTGTAGAAATTTAACATCCTATAAATGATAGAAATACAGTATCAAAATTTATGAATTTTTGCAAGTAGAAACTAGATACCGTTTTGCAAGTTTCTGGTCCAGAAAGGGTCAAATAAGTAAACTAATTTCTTATAACTGTCCTATACCATCTAACTAACCTGGGGTGATGTTTTTTTCACATACTTGTACGTGTGTCAGCAGTGAAGCAGTTAATATAATCATGCAACTATTGCGATAACTTGCTTTAATTTTTCAAGTATCCTATACGGAATGTTATTGAATTATTATATTGTAAGATATGTATGTTTATCGCACTTAGCAAATAACCCAGTAATAAAATATTATTGTGTATATCTCTTTCTTTTTTTTTAATCTTGTACTCCCATCTTTTTCCTATGCTGTTCTAACCATCCTTGTAATATGTCTTCTAACATTGGCAGGATATATTTTCCTTATTGCATTGTTTTTTTATTATATCATGAGTGATGGATTTTAACGTTTATAATTGATTTATTTGTTAGCATGTCTGGTTAGATACACGGTTGTTGTTTTTTTATAGCTTTTTTATACATGGACCATACAAATGGGGACCAGTTTCCAAATGAACTTACAGAACATTATACAATTTCAAAGATGATTGGAAGGTAAGACTTGAAACAGAATGCTTACTTAAGTCTTCATAATATTTATATTTAGTTGTTGTTTTTTTTCACTTATTTTGTATATTGTAAATTTATATACAAATTAAAGTTTTTAGAAAATAAGGCAAAGACAACTATTTTTTTTTTTTGCATGTAAAAAAATAAAAAAAGATTGATATTTGAAATTTTACCAAGGTAAAAACAATAATAGAATCATATTCTTATCCAGGGGGGCCTGTGGAGAGGTGCGGCTAGCCTTTACAAAAGGCACGTGTAGAGCTGTAGCAGTTAAAATAGTCTCTAAGAAGAAGTTTTCTGTTACTAATGGAAAAAAACAGAACGTGAGTACTTAATTCTTATTAAGAACTCTTAATTTTATAAAGTGTTTTTTTTTTCATCATAGAGTTTATTTTTGTGTCTCTGATGTACAAAGAAACTGTGATCAAAATATTTGTAATCTTTTAATATTTACACTTTCTTGACAGAGGAAGGTGACGGTTCTGAAAATAATTAAAATTAGTGACCTTGGGCAATGTATTCGAGCACCAAGGATTGTGGAAATCCTTTAAAATCCCAATTTTATGGGGAAAAAGTGCTTGAAAATTCTTAAGTTTGTTTGTAAGTGGAACAGCATGTATCTTTTAAAAAGAGGAATTAAATATATAAAAATTGACTAAATGTCTAATTAATTTGATGTAAAGTTGTCCCTGGTTTGTTACCCAAAATGGTATCATGTTTTAAAAGGCAAAAAAAAGCTTTATTTTTATGGATATGTAGTTATGTCTAATTAGTTTGATGTAAAGTTGTCCCTGGTTTGTTACCCAAAATGGCATCATGTTTTAAAAGGCAAAAAAAAAAGCTTTATTTTTATGGATATGTAGTTATGTACCTCCTCTGGGCAAATGTTGTAAGCTTGGGACCTAAAGTAGGTTTGTGAAAGGCCTTGAATTTTGGATCTCTCGTAACTAGTTTGGTGTGTTATTTGGATCTCTCGTAACTTGTTTGGTGTGTTATTTGGATCTCTCGTAACTTGTTTGGTGTGTTATTTGTACAGTGAATGATAAAATCTTCCTGGACTAGTTATATATATTATCAATAAACCAATAAATATACATAAATCTCTATAGTCAAAACTTTTTACAAATATCACAAACAGATATCTGGCTCACGTTATTCAGGAACACAAGTTTTAAAGTTGGAGAATTTAGACAAATGATGTAGATCACTGAGTACCTATACCATGTTATTTTAAACTTTTAGATATTTTTAATGCACATTGAGGCTATATAATGATGAAGAGCAAATTTGAAGACTTGTTGTGAAAGGTTACTTGAATCAGTAAACATATTGGTCATCGTACGTGTATCTCATGATAAGATCAAAAGTAGTTTTTGTATTTTTGCTTAGAGGATTCCCACTATATAAATAAGTTGACTTAATGTGTTCATTAAACTTTCTAAAACTGTTTCACAGATTAGTGGTAAAAAACACGTAATCCAAAAGAATACAGTGCCTTGATTAGGTTAGTATCAACCTTATATAGAGCGAATGATGAAAATGTATGCTGTTGATTCTGTTTCTCTTCTAAGTAAAAATATTTGTTTAGATATATATATATATATATATGTGTGTATGTGTTTATAGTTTATATTTTTATAAAAAGAATGGAGTTCAGTTCTGGTTAATATTAACTGTACTGCTCAGTGTGTGTTTATAGTTTATATTTTTATAAAAAGAATGGAGTTCAGTTCTGGTTAATATTAACTGTACTGCTCGGTGTGTGTTTATAGTTTATATTTTTATAAAAAGAATGGAGTTCAGTTCTGGTTAATATTAACTGTACTGCTCGGTGTGTGTTTATAGTTTATATTTTTATAAAAAGAATGGAGTTCAGTTCTGGTTCATATTAACTGTACTGCTCGAAAAGCCTTTTTGATTCACAAAGATATTTGGATTAATCGTGGTATTTTAAGGTTGTAAAGCTAACCACAGAGCAATACCTTCCAAGGTTGTTCTAACATTTTACCAGTAAGAAAACTGCTATGCCATCAAAATCACAAGAACTGATATTCACACAAATTATGATATTAAAGATTTAAGGTATAGTTTCCTTCTTTGACATGTGGTGATGTAAAAAAAAAAAAAAATTGGTTCTCAGGAAAAAGGAAATCATACAGTCACCGGACTTTACTTTTTTTTGGGGTTACCAAGGGTAACAGGTGATAAAGTCCAATCAAGGAAGGCAGGTGTTCGTCATGCAGCTTAACTTTTAATGATACCCCCAGTTTATAGTTATTGACATTCCCACTGCACCTGAATAAGGATCATTTACATTTCATATATGGTATAAGGAAAATTACCTTCACAATCTAGTGTGTTTTTGTACTAAAAATTAAATGTGGTAATTGCTGTTGTTCTTGAGATTGCGGGCCCCGGCATGGCCAGGTGGTTAGGGCGCTCGACTCGCAATCTGCAGGTCGCGGGTTCAAATCCCTGTCACACCAAACATGCTCGCCCTTTCAGCCGTGAGGGCGTTATAATGTGATGGTCAATCCCACTATTCGTTGGTAAAAGAGTAGCCTAGGAGTTGGCGTTGGGTGGTGATGACTAGCTGCCTTCCCTCTAGTCTTACACTGCTAAAGTAGGGACGGCTAGCACAGATAGCCCTCGTGTAGCTTTGCGCAAAATACAAAACAAACAAACAATCTTGAGATTGTTTTAATCAATTGTTAAGCCTAAAACTTGACAATACAGTTACATTACTTTTGTAAAGTTGAAATATTTTGAAAATCTTATAAATTTAATGCATCTAGCAAGAGCTCAAAGAAATTTTTAATAGATGAAAATGAAAGACATTGTGGCATGTAAGCTTGTTTATTTTTCAGCAAATTCCGAAAGATGTAATGAATGAAGTCCAAGTAATGAAAGATCTCAAACATGTAAGTAAATATTTGACAAATTTTAGAATCGTTTTTTGATTAATGTTTCCTTTCATTTAATGAGCCTACATTGTAGGAATGAAATTCTGCTGCTACTTACTGGTAGTCAGTAGAGCAACTAATGCTGGTACTCATCACTAGAACTTATTTGATCTAATTGTCATCCAGTCTGCGTGCCTTCCATTGTACTGTCAGAATGTATGATTGTTTCTTTAAAATCGTTAAAAACGGTGTTTTGAATGAATGTATTTGTACTTTTTTTTGTAAACTATATTATAAATTACACATATGAGTAAAGGCCTTTGTTTTATGTGCATATGAGAACTGACTGACACATTTTTTTCTTGAGAATTTCACCTCTGCTATAATGATTTCCTGTCTCGTAACTTACCCAATGATATAAAGGTAAGTAAATAAGATGATGATGATGGAAACAAACAGATTTACTGACACAGGAACTTGAAGTATATTCCATCAACACTCAATTTTCTGAAAAAAGCCAGTTTCTTTATGATTTTGAGTTCTGTAACTACACAAATTAGTCACTTGTTAGTATGTGTAAATACAAGTGTGTACTCATTTCTACTAAATCTTTAACATAAGTTCACTGTATCTATTCTTTATTAATAATGTGTTTATATCATGCAACAGTTGTATAAATTATATATTAATATTAACTGAATGAATGATATGTATCACTTCTGTATAAAATATTCTGTTTTAAAATATGTATCACTTGAAATAGTTGTGTAAATAGGGTTTTAAAATTTGGTGTATTGTATCAGAATTTGCTGTCAGGTTGTCTTTGTAATTTGACTTATATTTACTCAAGTTTTATTTGTATAGTAATTTGAACTCTGCTATTGGAAAAATATTAATAGTAGCAGAAGTTACACATTTATGATTGTGGTTAAAACTTACACATTTATGATTGTAGTTAAAACTTACACATTTGTGATTGTTAAATGTGTAAGTTTTAACCACAATCACTAAATGTGTAAGTTTTAACCTGATTGTGGTTAAAACTTACACATTTGTGATTGTAGTTAAAACTTACACATTTGTGATTGTGGTTATAACTTACATATTTATGATTGTGGTTAAAACATCTTGTGATTAATATTTTTGTCCTATTTTCCAGGTCTTAATACATGAGTAGATAATTATTTTTCCTTCTATTTATTGCAGCCATGCATTATTAAAGTAGAAGAAGTGATTGATACATCAGACACACTTTATATTGTATTGGAATAGTAAGTGAGCTTTCATGTTTTGTAGTGCAGTTAATTATTTACATTGAAATTTTCATTTAAAAGTGTATATTATACTCCTTAACAATGTGAAGTAACTGTTCTGAAATTAAACTGACACATGATAAACTGATTTATTATTTAGTATTGGGATAACTGGCAACTGAGGTATACCATTGAATTATTTTAGCTGTTATTTCTTCATAATTTACAGAGTTACATCTAAAATTTAATTCAACAACATTATTATCAATTTATGTCAACAAACGGAGCATAGTTACTAAATCAAGTTTAGTATTGTATAAGTTTTAATTTTGTAATTTGAAAAGGAAGTAATTGAATTTTCAATCTTCACTTCCGTGTATCATCTGACATTTGTTCTCTCTGAATTGTCCACTTAAACATTCTTTCCACCTGTATTTTAGCTTCTGAGCTATTAATCTGATCTTACAGCCTGCAGTGATTTACAGAAATTAAAACTTACATGCCACACCATCCTTTTACATACTGTCTTTCTCAAAATGTCATTAATTTTTTCAAACATTTGCTATTACGTTATTTATAACCAACAGAAAGATAATGTTTTAGTTTACTGAATGAAATCTATTAAACATGATTTTGTTATTTCTAGCATGAAAGGAGGGGAACTGTTTGACAGGGTTGTAACTGAGGAGAAGCTGGACGAAGCTTCGGCTAAACTTTTGTTTTACCAGATGGTAGTTGCTGTAAAGGTATGTTTGTTTCTGTTAAATTGTTAGACCTCAAAAGTTTTATAATCACTAATTTTGATCATTATGAAGAGTTGGGTTGAAATTTTCTTTATAGTTATAGTTTTTCCTAAGAATGATTTTTTTCTTCTCATCTTTGTAGTGAAATCACTAAGGATTTATCTTCTTTCTATTTTCTGTTTTACTTGATTAAAGCATTATATACTATAATGACTACATTTTGTATATTTTCATTATCATATAAGACTTTTTTTTGTAATATTGCCATATAAAAACATTTGTGTATACATATATCTGTGTGTTTTGAAATATTCAAAATTAGCACAAAATATGTCAGATATGTTTTCACATATTGAAAGATGTGTTTGATTTGGTGGGTAGATGCTAAGTGTTTAACAATATCTAAAAAAAAATACAATTCAGAAGGTTTTGTTACTTATGATGGGATAATATTATTTTATTGGAATGGGGAAGAGTTTCAAACTCCCATTATCTCCACTGACAAAAGCATATTTCATGTGTTTGTGTAAATAGGTAATGGTACTCAGAGAATGTTATCTGTTATTGTTTTTATGTTATGATAATGTAAATGTCCTTTTACCATGCTTTGAGTTAATGTGTTTATTTTTATAAATTTTAATCCATAACCATTGTGTAACCAATAGGAGTTAATGTTGGCTCTAATTGCTCAGTTGAATTAAGTATGTATCATTAAGCACATTAGTGCTTAGTATGTAAGGATGGGCCGAGAAAAAAAATGGCCACCACATTCAATCTGTTACTTTATGATGCTTACACATAACTGCTAAAGTTGAGTTAGAGCCTTATTTGAGCACCTAATTTCCATTATTGAGCATTTTGCTGCTTGCATAATAGTAATATTATTCTGTTCTTCTACCACATATTTTTGTGGATAAATAATAAAAAGGAAAACTACTACTTAGTAGTGAATTCAGTTTATTAGCATATATTATTTCCATGTCTCCTTTTTGGTCGCTAGATGGCAGCACAAATTGTTCTTATGTAATGACTGTTTGTGACTTTTCATTGCACAAACATGATATCTGCCAAAACAGTTTCAGTAAAAATAGAGAAAGAATAATCTAAGTTAATATTCAAAGTATCAAGGATATCAAATATTTATGCAACTGACAAATCTCTTTACACATTATTGATGTCTGAGGTTAAAAACACCAGTTTCTTAATTATCAGAACAATACTGTCAGGTTTGATATTGGGCCAGGATTCTTTGTAGTAGAGGTCTGTGACTTGTTGGTGATAAATTTCAACAATAAATGGACAGCACACAAGCCTGTGTACATGTTATTGACGTCCGAATTTAAAAACACCAATTTCTTAGTTATCAAACATACATTATATAGTGGTGTACTTTTCTTCAGATGTTCAATGAAGCTGAGACTGGCATCTGTGTGTATTTCCATGGTAACATACTTCATGGCCTGGTACCCGTACGACGTCCTCCTAATTAATTGACATGACCTTAGCATGTGATGGAGTCGATTGTATGCACATACAGTAAGTTGGGGTGAAGTTGGAAAGCATGGGTTCTCTAAATATCCCCTTAATCTTGGGCCAATGCTCTGGGGTACTTGTACTGTCCTAGAGGAATCATTCCAGCTTCACCCTACTTTTTTTTCTGCATTTTTTTGGCATTGTCATCCCTACACCATACACAGTTTTTGCTAATTCGGTTTCTGTTATTTATTATCAGTTGCAGTGGCCAGCAACCATATTTCGTTTGTGTTATTGTTTCAAGAGGAATAATAATTACTCTTGCAACATTTTTAGAAATAATCATTTACTTTGTTTTTTTCAGTACCTTCATGAACAAGGTATTACTCACAGAGACCTAAAGGTAAGAATTGAAAACATTAATAACAATTTATTTTTGAGGGCTTAAATGATGGTATAACTTTTAGCTCATATCATTCATCATAGTAAACTATATAGTGTGCTATGATTGGTATCTTTCATTATTTTTATATACAACAGGAGAGAGTATTTAGAAGATAACACAAATGTAAGAATGACGTACTATGTCTAACAATACAGCACTAAGGGAAGAACTCATAATTTGCACACAAAACATTTTTTTGGTTGTGAGTTTTTGTATTTGTATGCACAAAGTTTATAAAATATAAAGGCAGTGCTATGTATTTGACACTTTCAATACAGACATCTTTTTCTGTCACAAGGCTTTAGTGAGTTACATTCAAAATTTAATTAAAGTACTTATCATGGTATATGAATAAACATAGCTAATAATCCAACTTTTAATATTATACAAGTTTTGAGTTCTTAATTTTATATGGAAATATTAAAAAAAGAAATATTTCCCCTCGTATGAGAATTGTGACATTTACTTTCTTGTCTCTCTTCTATAATTTATTTATCAAGTACAAAAGTACAAAGTTTAATATAAATTACTCATTATAATTCCAAAACATACTTACCTCCTATCACACTACAGCTATTACTTGATAGGGTTTTTTATTTCCTTTGCCTATCTAAGCATTGGACTAATTCTTTCTCGCTTGCTCCAGTCTTTTATTCCCCACTTAATTGCCCTTGGTGATATCTGTCTCGTGACACACACTACCTACATCAATGTGCTTTCTATCCTGGTACTGTATATAAGCACCTCCTTCAGATAATATTGCCACTTTTTCTCAACAGTGTTCATTCACGTGTTTCTCTGTAGTACGACTGTTGGAGATACCTCGACCGTTCTTTGTAGTTTGCAGTCTTTTTCCAATCACCCTTCTTTCTTTGTGTTACCTATTTGATATTCATAAAAAAAAAAACTTTTCGTTTGACGAGTCGATGTATGGCATGAATTCCTGGATTAATGCATCCAGCGCAGAGGTAAATCAGGTCTCTCCTATCCCACCTCTTATATCTAGCATTGCTCAAACATTGTGGGGGAGTCACTCATGGTTGGGGCTGTTTGTTCATGAGCTTATCCATAGTGAGATGGAGACATACATTCGGTCCAATGGTGTTTCTCCAGGGGGCTCTGAGGTTGCACTTGCAGGTGATCCTGGATATTTTGGAGAGAATTTAGATTTGCTTTTTCCGGCACCTTCCTTTATTCTTTTGGCTTCTCATGAGGACAGTTTGGATCAGCCTACTCTGGCTCATTTTCTTCAGTTGATAAATCAAGTGTGTGATGTTTTGGGTCTTTCCCCGGTTGCTTTTGAATCTGCACCTTCCTTTATGGTGGAAAGGTCTGAGAGTGAGTACTTAGTTCCCCCTCCATCCCCTGATATTGTGGTTAATGCAGGGAGGTTTACTGCTTAGTTACATGAAGGGAAAGCAATGTCTTGTATGCTGCCATGTTTGACAGAAAAACAGCTTTTAGACAGAAAAGCTTTAGCCTACCATTGCCAGGTGGTGGAAGCACATTTAGACTCAGAGAATCGACCTGCTCTTAGAAATATGGGGTTACAGAATGGAGTATATGGTCAAATTGAATAGATAACAATTTTCTAGGATTCATCTGACCCTCACTATGGTGCTGAGATATTTATCATCCCTACACCTTTTTTTTCGGAAGCCTTTCAGTGATGTCAACATCAATTTGATGACGAATTGGGACCATTGTTAGCATCCACCTTGGTTCAATTGTCAGCTTCAGCACTTTCCCTACACTCTTGGCTGGTATGTTGTTGGGTAGAGACACGTTGTCAGAGGACATTTATCTACCTGCTGCTGCCTTCTGTGAGTTACGTGAGGGGAGTCTTTGTTGACTTCTTGACTTTTTTCAGCTACTACAGAACGTCATAGTTCCACCCCAATTCGAGTGTCCCGATCCCCAGCCTCAGTCCTGCAGTCCATTAGAATAGATTTCACCCATATCCTCGAGGTTCATGCATGCCTCACTTCAGGGATGGGGTGCATATCTCAACAGTCAGGAATTCCAGGGCCTATGGACGGACAACGAAGCTTCCCTCCACATAAATGATTTAGAACTTCTTGCTGTTCAAAGGGCAATTTCTCCAGGTCTGGAATTATTGAGGAGCAAAGTCATCATGCTTTGCTCCATGGTAGTATCTTACACTACCCATGAAGGGGGCACTCGGTACAGGTCTCTTTGTTTTTGAACCTTGGATCTCTTATATTGGGCCTATTCCCATCATATCATCCTAGTAGCTTGCCATGTTCCAGGGGTGATGAATTATTCATCAAGAAGTTTTCCATTGGATTTGCTCATGGTTTGGCACTCTGATGATCAATGCGCTTGCCACTCATTAGAACACCCACCTACCAGCATAATGGTCTCCGGTATCTCACCTACAGGCATTGGCAATAGATGCATTCAATCAGAACTGGACTGAATTGCACCTATATGCCTACTCACTGATTCGTCTGTTATCCAGAGTCCTAGCAATGATTCATTCAACCCTCTTTTGTATTCTGTTGGTAGCATCGGATTGGGTGGTTCAATGCTGGTATCTGCTTCTGCAGTACCTTCAGGAGTGCTCATCTCTTCTGCTTCCTCTTTGACCATTCTGTTGAGACAGCCATGATTCGAAATCTTACAATCATCCATCCTCAAGCTCATGCGTCATGTGTTTAGGTTATGTGGTCCATCACATGACATCAGGGTTTAACTTCTAATGTTGCCATGTAGTTGTCTCAGTATCTGCGTTGTCCCAAGATTGACAATAGTGTATTACACAGAGGTTGAACCCACTTTGTCCAGACGTTTCAAC